TATAAAAGTAGTATCTAGAAGACATGAAAATGGTGAAAGTAAATTATACTTTTTTGGGTATAGACTCCAAACCAGTTTTGTTGTTAAGTGAATCCATATTATTTATTCAGTCTTTAGGTCAAGAGCCTGACTTCTTCTATTGTATGGAACTAGTGGAGAAAACTGGAATCTGTAGCTTACCAGGAAGTCAGTTCCTACAGAAACCTGGTACTTATCATATAAGGTAAGGGATACTCATTGAAGTTTTGAAAAACGAGTCTTTTTGGATACCTTGTATTTAACATTTCAGGAAAGGGATTCATTAAACTTGAAAAAAATATATTCAAGAAAATCCATATTATCTTCAGCTTGTGCGAAAGTCAGTTTTTTTCATTACATGATATCATAATGTTATCATGAAGTCAACTTATTTAACTCTCACTATGGGTAGGTACAAAGTGTGCGTGTTACAACTTTTTAGACAGTTGCATTTTAAGTTTTTAATTAAACTACTTTATTATCATTTTATACAAATAATCTTGGCATCAAAATGTAGTTAATAAATCAAATTTTAATATTATATAAGTTTTAAGTTCTTAATTTTATAAGGAAATATTTAAAAAATACTTAATCTCCCCCCAGTATGAGAATTGAGACATTTGTTCTTTAAGTCTTCCCTCTTTTCTAATTTATTCACAACCCTTTCGACAAGTACAGAATTTAAATTGCTTATTATAATACAGATATTACTAAAACAAAGCATGATTTATATAGCCTTCAGTCTTATTTGTTTATGGAGCCATAAACTAGAAAATTAGATCCATTTACTATGCTTATTTTTCACATCCTCTATTTCACAAATTACCAGTAGTTTTCTCTAACATTTTATACTATATTATTTATAATTGATAGAAAGCCAAAATTTTAATCTATCAAATGGCTTATTCTCTGTTCAGAGAATTGTCTATTTCATCTCAGGATTTAATAATTCTCTTCAGTATTTACAATGACAAACTTAGCTAAATTTTTAAAGGCTTTTATTGCAAAGTTAGAAAGGCAGATAAGTTATAATAGTTACAGGACATTGTTTGCTTTATGTGTGTTATTATTCTTTGTTAATAGATGTGTTATTTGACTAAGTAAAAATTATTTAGTGTATTAATAACATTATTATTCAAAAACAAAAAGTAAGCTTAACTGTCATTGACAGTCTACAGCAAAATAAAATGAGGACATGTGTAAGTAACATATTTCTTGTTTTTCATGTATATTCTTTATTTATTATTATAAAAGTAACTAAAACGTAAAAATTAAAAATTTACTGTTGGATAAGGTTAGATTAGGTAAAATAATGAAAAATTATTAATTCTTCTCCAAGTATTCTCGCAAACAGCTAATGCATTATGTAATTCAATACCTATCTTGGGCTATGCATTCACCAAGTGGGAATTGTGGTGGGACTATTAGTTAGACATAGATCAAAGGGCAATAAAACAATAAAATTTAAGTATAAACAGCTTTAAGCTATTTAGGATACACAGTTGTGGGTTTCCTGTTATAATTTGCAGTCATTCTAGAAAAAAAAGAGTAATATTAAATTTATTTCATTTTTTTATGGTGAGTTGGAGGTCAGTCAAATTGACTAAATGCATATACATTTAGGGCAGAGAAAATAACAGATAAAATTTAAAGTTTTACTTTAAAAGAAAAAGTTTGGTATTTATTTAGGAGGCTCTTTGAGATTATGCAAATGAAATTTAACATATTTCAGGAGAAGAAGAGTATTTTTAATCTTAACATGAAAATCACTTGGCACTTGAAGCAGTTATGGACAAATGTTTAGTAAAAATATTTAATTTAAAATAATGTGAATTTTTGTTTACAAAAGACTTGTACATTAACTAAAAGCTTAACACAAAACATCATAGAGTCAGTAGACTCTATATGTAGGGATAGCCAAGATACTCAATAGGGATAATATAAATGTGCATGCTAAAAAATGAACAATGACAGAGAGTTTTACTTTAAAAGATGATTGCCACTCACTTTTATGTTTCTCTACCCAAAAAGCCCAAAAACAAGGGAAGAAATCATCACTAAGATACCAAACTAGAAAGTGATCAACCCACCAAATTGTTCATCTTTCATCTTCTTGTTTCAGTCGATATAACTCTACAACTACTTTATCGCTAATGTTAATTTAAACCTAAATCCACTCTATGTGTTTCTGGGCAGTGCACAATTTTATTGTTAGTCGTAATAACTAATAGTAATTAAAAAAAATCATAATTGTAGTGTAAAAGATGTTATCATTACCCCTTGAAGCTAGGTTTTGTTTAAAGAAATCTGGCATTCCTTTAAACACTTAAGTACAGGATAAATCAGGAATTACAAGCCAATAATAGCTGAACATTAGATAACTGTGACATGTAGAATACTCAATGCTTTGTACACTATATAATCGGCATCTTTAAGATGCCAACCCCTATATTATGTATGAAGCGATGGAGTAAAAGAAAAAATCAATACACATAATAATGAATTTTATTGCACACATTCATAGAACACACTACCTTTTAGTCAGAGGATAAAACATCACAAAATAAGTAATATAAAAAACATTTTATAAATGTAAAATGATGTAGGGATGGCATTTCCAAAAAAGAATGCAAACAAAAATATAGGGATGATACAGCTATACATAGATCATCCCTACATGACTTTCAATGTTAAAATTTAATGTTACACTATAAAATGCAAGAGTACAAAATGGTTACGAGGTTGATCAATTCGACTGGCTTCGTATCGAGAGTCTGTAATAATCAAGACATATTTTGACTCAACTTAGTTTTCATTGTACGTAAGTCCTAGGCTCTTAGTTACACTACATTGATGCCTACTCTGAAATGACCATGATTTTATGACAAAGAAACTTTATACTAACAGTCAAGACTATATATCTTCCAAATGCAATGATATTAAAGTCAAGTATGCATTTTATAGTGTAGCATTAAAATTTAATACTGAAAATTATGTAGGGACAATCTATGTATAGCTGTATCATCCCTATATTCTTGTTTTAATTCTTTTTAGCACTGCCATCCCTACATTATTTTACATTTATAAAATGTTTTTTATTACTTGTAATAAAGCTATAGTATAGAAACTGATGGTCACTCTGGTGTTACAAGGTCATTGTAATTTGCCAAGCCTGTAGTCAGAATGCCAGTATCCTTTTATTTCTCATTTGAAACACATTATTAGCTTTTGGAAAACTAGATTTAATTAATGGGTGTAAGTTTTTTTTTTAAACTTGATGATTACCATATTGGAATTTATTTCTTCTTTGATCTAATATTGGATTATAGCTGGAATGTAGATTTTTAAAACTTGATAATTGTCTTAGGATGAAAGTCTTGGTTAACTTTCTGAAGAAGTAATTCCTGTAATAACACGAGATAATTTACAGAAAATGAAGTTTTTTGAAAACACGATAGCTGACAAACATTGATTCATACTACACTATACTATTTCCATGTACTACACCATGACTTATATTGTGCAGTTGTTTTGCAATACGTATGCTAACCTAGATGTACTTTGCACTATAAAAATCAACAGTTGTTAGTCCAATTGTAATTTATGCACAAAAAAGTTCACCTGTTGCACATCCATTTACAGTTTATGTACTAAACTTCATGCTAGCCACATCGTGATTTCTTACAGCAAAAGTTTATTTGTTTTTCGTCAAGATTGAGTAGGAAAAAACTTCAGCTTTTAATATCTGGCCAAGTGCATGATTCTGCTGTATGTTTAGTCCAAACTCACGACTCTGCTGTAAATTTAGTCCAACCTTATGATTTTGCTGTAAAATAACTAATTTTCTAAGCATTGTTAACTCAAACATGAACCTGAATTTGAGGTTCTCTGTTGCTCAGGTGAAATCATATTAACGAAACATATATGGCTTTATTACAATATTTCCCTAATGTATCTACATGCTTGTGCAAGCTGAAAACAGTGTTAAGCATTAGGTGTCTAAAACCAATATTCATTATACCTGGAACATTTGAACTGCTCACTTAATTAACACCTGCCACACGAGCCAGTCTAGCATCTTTTAGAACTGAGCCTAAGATGGTCAACAGGGGCATCATTTCAAAAACTAGTGATTTATGGTTATTTAAATAAATCTCAATAAAAATGAAGGTCGGCACAACTTCTAGAACAAAACAAAAAAACTAAATATTAATGAAAATACGACATGATGAAATCTTTATGGATTATACTATGGTGGTATCATACTGGGTATTATACTGTCCTTCTTATATTTACTCTTCATTGCAGAAATGGCATTTTTAATTTGAGAGTTGCTTAAGAAATCATCTTGCAATGCATTGTGCATCTTCTTCAACTTCAACACTGCATTTTTGGACTTTACTGTGCCATTAGGTTCACAAAATATTGAAACTAATGATTTCTTGTATATGATTTCAATCCCCTTTTTCAAGTTAATTATACTATATTGTCTGTTTTGTTTATGTTTTGTAGTCAATGCAGTAATCAACTGACGAATCTCTGATTCAGGTGGTATATCAAATTGATTGGGATACCTTTGAATAAGTTATTCTGTCATCTGACCTGGACCCATGGTTTAGCTTCATTGCTACACTTAAACCATCACATTTCAAGCATGTTTCATGGCTACATCATTTTACTTTACAGTTACTAGTTAACTTCTCCATGTTGGGTCTCAAGTCAGGTTATGGGTCTTGTCCAGTGACCTAGAACTCTAAAATAGTGTCAGATGTCTTCCTTTTAACCTAAACAACCCAGACCTTTCTGGAATGATTAGTTTTTTTTTTATCCCATCAAGATGCTGGGATGGCTCATGTGGCAGGCATTGATATAAACAAACAGGATTTTGTTTTATGACAAGTACTAGTTTTGATTTTGCTTTTACATGTTAAAAACTGTATTAAAATATTACCAAATAAATATATATTGTGGGTGTAACATCAGATAACAGGATTTTGTTTTATGACAAGTACTAGTTTTGATTTTGCTTTTACATGTTAAAAACTGTATTAAAACATTACCAAATGAATATACCATGGGTGTAACATCACATAAGCTAGGCATACATGAACTCTCTAATGTAGTGTTATGTTCTGGTTCTTATTTGTTTCTAAGTCTATCTGATTTTATTTTTTATCTGTCTTACCCCTTTCTTCATTTTATTAATTTGAAATTGACAAACAGACATAACATTTTTGAAAAAAGTGTTCATTTCTTCTTTATTAGATTAACTATTGGTTTATACTTGAACTGCACGAAAAGTTTAGGTGGTGTGATTGGTTACTATAAATGTATGAAAGTATTGATATAAGGAGGTACCTAATGGCTGACTAGACTTAGTATTTGGCATTTTATTGTAGCTTTAATTTCTGCATTAGATTGGACTGTGTATTTTTATCCTTTATTCCTTTCACACCAAATTTTTTTGATTAATCTATGTTTGCTAGATTAGTAACAGATGAGTGTACCAACCACACATCTCTGTTAAAAGATTGTTTGCTAGATTAGTAGTCAATGAATTTACCAACCACACATCTCTGTTTGCCACAAAAATAGCAAAAGGTTGATATTTTTAAGTTATGAAAGAAGCCACACTGTGGTGGTAAACTTTTTTTTCCTATTTGAAATTACTCAATTTTTTCTTCACAGGATGACGTTTTTGCCTCCAGTGAAAAATATGAAAGCTATGGCCATACGACTAAAAGAATTCCATCAAAAGATTTTAGCTGAATACAGCTAGGCTCTCTCTAGTACAGCAAAATACACTTGTGTGATTATGTGAGAGTATGATAAATACTCCATAGTTGTCATACATATGTCAGTGAAAAAATCTATCTATTCAGCTGACCAGTTTATCATTCTATACAAAGATTTCAGCTTAAGTGAGGTGTGTGTGTAACTGACATTGTAACAAAGGCATTGTATCTCTGTGGACTGTTTGCCTAGGTATCTTGTATAGGTGTTTTTAGTTAAAATGGAAGATGAAATATCATGGAAGTATGCCCATGTTTCAAAGCTTTATCCATTTTTAGTAACATATTTATTATAGAAACTTGACAAATTTTAGAGTAATTTTACATATCAGTATGCTTTTTTTCTGAATCTAATTGATGGGTAACATTCAGTAAACTCTAAAAATTATGGCAACATCAAAATATAAAACTTAAAAGCTTACACTTTCAGATGACTGAATTAGTTTCCCGAGTTGAGTTAAACATGACTTCAAATGAGCATTTCGTAAGACTCTTATTCTTCCTCAAATCTCAGTTCGAACTACACACTGACTTAACGTGTATGGTTAGCTGTACTGGAAATCATACCTTGGCATGTAGGTAAGAAGACATTTATTATAATTGATGGCCACCTAAAGTGGATCCAACATGTTTCTTTTTACAGCAAGGACATCTATTTATGTATACAGATTTGAAAATATATCTGATTTGTGTCTTATGTAGAGGAACCTATAGCCCCACCACACACACACACACACAGTCAATATTGCTCTGTTTATAACTAAATTATTTTTTATTTATATTATATATTTTAGGACAATAAAGTCTAAGTAGGAGTTGACATAAACGTTGAACAGTAAACTGGTAATTTATGCTGTTAAATAAATATTCAAAGTAAATTTTCTTATTAAAAGCATTTCTAGTGCTAGAACATTCTAGTTAGAGCAAAATGAGCATATTACTTTAAAGTGTGAATATATTAAATAAAAGAGAGCTTAGTGGCTGATTATATTAGTATAGCTATCCCTCTAATACATTAATTAAATAAAAGACAGCTTAGTGGGATAATTATATTAGTGTAGCTATCCTTCTAATACATTAATTAACTAAAAGACAGCTTAGTGGGTTGATTGTATTTGTGTAGCTATCCCTCTAATACATTAATTAAATAAAAGACAGCTTAGTGGGATAATTATATTAGTGTAGCTATCCTTCTAATACATTAATTAACTAAAAGACAGCTTAGTAGGATGATTATATTAGTGTAGCTATCTCTCTAATACATTAATTAACTAAAAGACAGCTTAGTGGGATGATTATATTAGTGTAACTATCCCTCTAATACATCAATTAACTAAAAGACAGCTTAATGGTATGATTATATTAGTGTAACTATCCTTCTAATACATTAATTAAATAAAAGACAGCTTAGTGGGATGATTATATTAGTGTAACTATCCCTCTAATACATTAATTAACTAAAAGACAGCTTAGTAGGATGATTATATTAGTGTAACTATCCCTCTAATACATTAATTAACTAAAAGACAGCGTAGTGGGATGATTATATTAGTGTAACTATCCCTCTAATACATTAATTAACTAAAAGACAGCTTAGTGGGATGATTATATTAGTGTAGCTATCCCTCAAATACATTAATTAACTAAAAGACAGCTTAGTAGGATGATTATATTAGTGTAGCTATCTTTCTAATACATTAATTAAATAAAAGACAGCTTAGTGGGATGATTATATTAGTGTAGCTATCCTTCTAATACATTAATTAACTAAAAGACAGCTTAGTGGGATGATTATATTAGTGTAGTTATCCCTCTAATACATTAATTAACTAAAAGACAGCTTAGTGGGATGATTATATTAGTGTAGTTATCCCTCTAATACATTAATTAATCAAAAGACAGCTTAGTGGGTTGAATATATTAGAATATGCTGCTACAGAGAAAAGAACAAACTGTTGTGTATAGTGTGAGATAATTTATTAAATTTATATGCTAGTTGCTTAGTGAACAAGATGCTAACTCTTGTTTCGTTATATTTTTGCAATATCGTGGAATGATAAAAGTATTTAGTCTTATTTCATTTAATACACATTAAGTCAGAAAAAGATTAAGTAAACAAGTGCCAAATACAATAGTAATCCGTGTATCATGTTTCAGTAAATATATATGATTTTTATTCACATTTTGTAAAACTCAATAATGTTTTGTTCATAATTTATTGCTTTATTTATTTATATAATATAATATTGCACAAACATTAAGTTTTTCTGCCAATACAGATTTGATAGCTAAATCTATGAATCCTATTGCATTCACATACATCTCAAGTGATGTAGAAATATTTATCACTTTTGGGTGTGTAATGTAATTTATTTGATAGTTTATCTGTCTTGTTGTGGTATGTACATCAACGAATAGGAAATATTTTAGTTTTATTGTTATTGATCAGAATCAATATTTCATTCCAAACACTATGACTTGTATATTTATATTTAACCTGTTTGAATAAGATTTTGGGAAAAAAAATTGGGATGCTTTTTAATAAATATTTTTTAATTTTACAATGCAAAAAGCTTATATAACATTAACCTTTTAAGGCTTGTTATGATGAAACATATTAAGAACAGTAAAATGCTGAATATTTTTACATTTTATCAAGCATCTTAGTTTGAGTTTTCTATTTTCACTGCTGTAATCACGCAAAATTAAATCTAGGCATTTAGTTTGTAAAAGAAAGACCAGTATTTTAGATAGTTATTTTATTTAGTGTAGTTTTAATGAAGTAGTAAAAAATTCAGAAGCAAAATATTTTTGAGAACTGATGTTACATTTTTTTATTGTTGTTGGTAATAAAAGTTGACTAGATTTATTAAAATGAGAATATTTTTTAAACTTACTAAAAATCCCAAATTTCATTTAAAATGAGGAGAGATTTAGTCTAGTTGTCAAATATGATTATTACTTAAAGGGATTATAACTTACTTGTTTAAACAGTTTTCTATATAATTAAAAGTATTTTGATTAAATTCTAACCTGACAACTGCACCATGGGAGAATTGTCCCCCCTGGACAACTGCCCCTGCAGCCATATCTTATTATATTAATATAACTCACTAGAATATGAAAAAAAACTTACATATTCCTTATTAATTATCTAAAACTGTTTAAGTAGAATAAAGTAACACAGGTTTCATGTTAAATTTTGTTTATTGTAATGAAATATAAATGTTCAAGTATATAAAGTTATATAAAGTAAGTATATTAGAACTGTAAATTATGAGCTGTTCCTCTCAAAAAGTCCAAGAAATTGTGGTTTTGAAAATCTTCTATAATGTTTGTTATTCTGGCAGTTGATTCTGGAGGAAATATGTCACATTTCTTACACTAGGGAAAATTCAGGATTTGTTAATATATTGCCTTATTAAATTAAGAACTTAAAACTTGTATTCCATTAAAATATGGATTGTTAGCAACAATTTTATGCTATACTAATTGGTATAACATATACAAAAAGTACTTTAATTAAAATTTGAATGTAAGTCACAAAAACCTTGTGACATGCGCAGTAAAGGATAGCTAGGTCAAGAGGGTTAAATAGTTTTAGATAATTCGTTCTTCTATAAAATATATGCATTATTTTTCCTGTTTTAGTCAGTTATATTAACATAAGAAGAGATGGCTGCGGGTGGAAGTTGTCCTACAAACAGTTAAATAGATGATGCAAACGTGTATTAGATAAAGCTTCTAATGTATATAATAGAATAATATATTGCAAGTTATTTTTGTTGTTTATTTTACTGTTTGAAAATTCCGTATGTTATTTTAAAAGTAAAAATTTAAAGAAATGACCAGGTTATACATGCATACTTTGTTGAGATTTTTATTTATGAATGCACTCAATGTACAAGTTTAGTTTATAGTTTATTTCCTAAGTCGTTCTTTGGAATACTGTGAATTGAACTTTGTAATTGGTATGTCTTTTATAGTTGTCCAGACGGAAAGTCAGTGATACTTATATACAACTATTTTGAGTATGTTCTTATTTTTGTTGTATTGAATTTATATATTTTAAATAATGCGTTTCTAATTTTGTGGTTGACTTCTGTTGTAATGTTATTTGGTGTACAAATAAACATGTTTGTGTGGAGCAGAACTGTGTTAGTGAAAGTTGTTGATCATTATG